TCTGCGGTTCTAGTTGGAACCAAGCTCCACATCCAGAGTCTTAGCCTTTGTCAGTGCAGAGAACAGAGAGAAGATGTTGTCTGAGAGGTTCAGGAGGTTCTCAGGAATATGCGAGCTGCAGGCAGCAAAGAAAACCAGCTGGTTTTGTGTCATCACACTTCACATTCACATTCACATTCATTCTCCACTTCCTCTTGTATCACTCCATACCCATTTACTTCTCCACTTCCTCTTGTATCACTCCATTCATGAGGATAACCCACTCAGCCTTCAGCAGCTGCTGCTTTAGTAGGCGGGGGCGTTGTGAAACTGCAGATGTCATTCTTCCCCGACTGCACTGAGAGGGTGGGCGGAGGGACTCCCTGGGAAATGGAAACATCCATAAATCCACTTAGTTTCTAACAGAAAACTAACTGAATGAGACAGGGAATGTGCCAAAAAATAAAACTGGAGCAAAAAGAGGCTGAACAGCCTTTTACTTTAGGGCTAATAGAAAACCAGACTGGTTTCAAATGCACCAGCTGTGGATCCAAAATAAGTTCTGAAAAGGAAAGGTCACCAAATCTGAGCGTTACATCACAAAGCGGTTTCACTGGGATTAGCTGGTGTAGGTGAATGTCTGTGAGGAAAGGAAACCCAAGCTCAGAGCTCTGACCTGCAGGGCAGGATGGGAGCAGATCGGTGCAACATGATCCGACAGCCAGAGGGCGTGTAGTGAAACTGGACAGGCTGGTGCAGGTACCTGCAGGCATACACCTGCACTGAGGCGAGAGAATGGGGGAGGCTGAATTCCTCCCCAGAAAAATCAAGTCTGAATAATTTAGCATTAAATGTAAATGTTTTGACTCATAATTCCTGAAGCTCTGAGAATAACTGCAGTGTTGAAAGAGGACACATGAGGTGCCACAATCTGCTGTGCACGTGAAGGCAGTCTGGTGTATTTCTGCTACTCACATGAACTCTCTGCTTCTTGTTCCCAAAGATTAGATGTTTACACAGTTCTTCCTGCTTCGCTGCCTCATAGTCTTCACCAGACTTATACAGTGTATTGTCTCTAACTGGAGGCCAGGAGCTGTGACATCACATGGCCTGTGATGACAAGTGGCTTTAACCCTCGAATGACATGAATATGTGATTCTTACTGATTCTGCAGACGGTTAGGCAGCCTCATTTTGTTCTAATGATAAAATACAAATAGTTCTTACTGTATATGTTAAAACAATCATGGAGAACAACTTGGCATTTTTCTATTCTCTCTTCTTTCATCTTTAATTGCGCAACTAGTGAAACATCCAAACCGTTTCTCCCACGGCGTCCTGCTTCCCCTAAACTTAAAATGCCCAGTCATCCCTCGGAGTCTTGTTTTCTTCCATGGTACCAACATGTGAGTCACCATGAACCCTGTAAGGTAGTAGAGCAGCTCTGACCTTAATCAGAATGGTTTCAGCACATCTACAAGTGAAATAACCTTTTAAGAAAACCAAACAGGAAGTCGTTCTGAGTGAACCTGCAGTAAAATTCTAAATAAAAAGAAAATTAACATCAGTATAATATGATCATAAACAGGCACTCGGTCCATAAACAGAAGCTGTATGTGAAAACACGGCGCCGTTATCCTGTGTGAATCTGAGCTGTAACATCCTGGCAGCGTGACCTCACAGCTCAAGGGGACGTCACGCGTTAGAAACCCACCCTATCACCTCCGCTCGGTTGGACGATCTCGAGCCAGAGCAGGTATTTTTAGAATCTGTCAAAAAACCTCAAACAGACACAGCTTTGAGGAACAAACTATGTTTTGATAACTTTGTCTCAAAAGCCTGAAAAACAAGGGAAAATGATGAAATAAACACATTTATAGTGTCGGCGACAGTGAAGGTCTGTGGATGTGAAGTTGCTCTTCAACCGTTTTTGTTTTAAAATGTATATGCAGCGCTCTGCTTCTGGCTCCTAAACATTTACAGTGTCTTACAATCCCACACACGCTCATCTGTATTTAGATTGTGGAGTCATGTTTATTTATATTGGTGACTGTTTTACAGGTCAGTTTAAGCCTGGGGGTCACTCTGTTTGACCTTTTCTCTCTTATTTATTCTGACGAGTCACCAAAGCCAAGTTTAGTTTCCACATGGGCAACGTGCAGCTGTGGTTCAGGAGGTAGAGCTCATAGGTTGTCTCCTAATTGGAGGGTTGGTGGTTTGACTGCCGGCCTCTCCAGGCCACATGTAAACATGACACTGAACCTCTAGTTCTCCTGGCGGCTGCGCCATCAGTGTGTGTGAAGTGCTTTGAGTGGGCTTCATTCCATAGAAATGTGTTATACAGGTATAAGGCCCTTTAGAAAAATAATTTGGCTGCGTTGTTTTGTTTTTATTCAGACAACAGCTGATGAAAACTAGAAGTTCCTCAGCTCTTCTGTTGTGAGACCAATGATTTCTGTTCTGTTCTGTTCTCCTCAGCCAACCTGTCAGAGCTTTATCTCAGTCTGTGTCACGATTCGGTTCCATTGCTTCCTGTCAGGCTTTTATTTTGACGTTAATTCCTGTTTTTGTTTCACCTTAGTTTCGGTCTTTTTACATTTTTCATCACTCACATTGGTTTCACCTGTTTCGTTATTGTGTGCACCTCTACATAGGCAGCGTCCTCCCACCAGGACGCTGCCAGATTGTTCTAGACCCCAGCTCTGACTCTCCAGCATTTATACCTTGCCTGATTCTCTGTTTCTGACCTTGGATTACTGTTTTTGACCACCGTGTTTTGCCTATGCCCTTCCAGTTTCTGATTGCCTACAGTGTACCGACCTTCTGAGTTATTCCCCTTGACCTCTCGAGTTTGGGTCTCCTGGCTATACCTGTCTACCGGCGCTGACCCTGGACTGTCTTATCGACCTGATTGTGTATCCCGGACTGTGTATTGATTGTCTAGTTGCTACAGGTAAAAACCTTCAGCTAAATCAGTTCGTCTGGTTTTATAATTGAGTCCACCACAAACACTATTTGGCGTTCTTACACGTCAAATCTGACAAGTCTGGGGTCAACGCTGGTGAAACTATCAGGGTAAAGGTTCTAAAGGTTCACTCCTTGGCTTTGCTATAACTTTGCTATGATAATCTCCAAATCCAGAAAGTTCCTCCCAAATGTACAGTGACAGTTCACAGCAGTGCTGGGGATGTAGGGATTCAGAAGGTTTGATTAAACATGGGTCATGTTTGTAGTTTTTTTTTATTATGGTGTTGAAAAGATGGAATTTTTCTGAAGGGTTTTCATTCAACTGGCTGTTTCCACTCTGTAATGAAGTGTGTGTGTGTGTGTGTGTGTGTGTGTGTCAGTCCAAATTTAGGAAGTTTCAACATAAAATACCCACATTACATTGAACACGTTGACAAAAAAAAATTTCCTCAGCATTTTTTACATCATCCAGCTGACGTGACACATCCAACATCCGCCTGTTAACAATGACCCATTGCTGCTCAAAGCCACTCATTCCTGTCGTACAGGTTCATGTTCACTGTTAGAGTCCTGACCCAGCAGTCACACGTCCTGTGCTGGCTGCAGTGTGCACGCTCCACACACACACCAGCACCTCAGCACCATGTAACACCATGTGATGTGCACCAACAACCTGACATCTGACCACACTGGAAGAAATCAAAGTGTTGTCATAAACAAACCCTACTATAACCATCATGACTCAGTCATGCACTGCAGAGTGTGCACTGTATTCAGGGCCGGCCCGTGGCATAGGCAGTATAGGCAAATGCTAAGGGCGCCGTACATCCAGGGGGCGCCAGAAATGGAGGAAGAAAAAAAGTGTAACTTCCACTATTCTTAAAACTAGACTTCAGAAAAGAATAAGCCCACCACATTAATTTAACTGCATAGCAGCAAAGCCTACTAAGTAGTAGTAGTAGTAGGCGGGCGCTGCGGGCGGGCGCTGCGGGCGGCGCTGCAAGTACCGGTACCGTCCAAATGCAGTATAGTACCATTTTAAATGCCTCAGTACCGCGGTACCATACTAGTACCGGTATATCGTGCAACACTACAGTGGTCCATTTCAAATAGAAAATAGCTTCACGTTCCCTAAACAAAAGGACGGTCGAAGGTGTCAACATGACTATTTTAACAGAGTCTTAGTCAATGGAGAAAAAGTCCGAAGAAGCTGGCTTATGTACTCTAAAAAAGATGGTAGCTTGAACTGCTTCTGCTGCAAACTTTTTTCTAAAAGAGAGTACAAACTGAACAGGGAAGGACTTAAGGACTGGAAAAATGCAAGTCACTTGCTCAAGGTCCATGAGGATAGTCAGGAGCATAATGCTCACATGGCAACATGGAAGGACTTGGAGGTCCGTTTTGCAAAAGGGCTCACAATAGATAAACAAGAGATGGCACTTGCTGAGGCTGAGAGAAAAAGGTGGCGTGACGTTCTACATCGATTGGTGGCAATAATTTAGTCCTTAGCTGAAAGAAACATGGCTTTTAGGGGTTCTACAGACACATTAAATAAACCAGACAATGGAAATTTCCTGAAAGAGGTGGAGCTTATGGCCAAATTTGATCCAGTGATGAAGCAGCATGTCAGTAGGGTGGAAAGTGGAGCTGGCAGTCATGTACATTATCTTGGCAAAACAATCCAAAATGAACTGATAGACTCCATCAGTTCTAAAATAATAGAACACATTGTGACAGAGATCAAAATATCCAAATATTTTTGAATGTGCAATTGCTTTATTTAAATAAAAGAATGTCCAAGACAAAGCTATTACGTTTCTTATAAGTATATACGCTAGCAGTGGAATTTACTGCGATTCAACCGGGCACCACCTGAAATCTTGCCTAGGGCGCCAAATTGGTTAGGGCCGGGCCTGGCTGTATTCTCATTTTCTTTCTCCGTTGAGCAATGAGGTGGGTTGGCTGCCCTCCGGGGAGGGGCCTGCTGTGTGGGGCGTTTCACTGTCACAAACTATAAATTGTGCGCGCTCTGTAGTTTCAGGCATATCTGACATCTCCCAGCTCAGAGAGCGCAGCAGAGAAACGAGAGAGCGCGATAATAAACTCAGAAAATGTACACACGATCCAGCAGCGTGACTCTGACTGTTCACCAGGAGACGTTCGCCTTCTCTAGGCTGGCTCTGCGCAGCACGGAGCCCGAGGTCTTCACCTTCGAGCGGATACCGGCTCAGGCCACCGCCGTCAGCACCTACGTGCCCATCCGGCCGAAGAAGCGCTGCACCCGGGTTATGTACCCCGCTAAAGTGCGCATGCACCTTCCCCCCCCGGAGAAGAGCCCGGCCAAGCGCTGGCTGGTCATCCTGTGCCTGGTGGTGCTGTGGCAGGTCTACACCGAGGAGCCCAACACTGAGACGCCTCTGGGCAGCGCGGGCAGTCCGGTCAGCGACTACCAGTCTGTGGAGGAGCAGGCACGGCAGCACGCACTGCTCAGCTCCAGCTCCGAGCTCCTGTCAGCATCGCCCACCAGATGTGAGGACAACGGCTCATCTGGCGACCAGACCATTCTCAATACCACCTGCGCCGAGGAGACGGAGACCAGCCGGTCGTTCGAGCAGAGCGCCGGGAACTACGTGGTGGCTCTGCTGGTCTACCACAGACTGGGCAGCGACAACTGAGACTCGGGACTGGTTTAGCTGTAAGCCGCCCGTTTGCGGGCTCCCGGGACAGAAACTGAGCCGAGCTGGTGTCCGGAGAACAGCTGTGTGCCCTGAGCGGCACAGCCAGGGAGGGGGCTTCATGCGCCAACTTCAGGAAGAAAGAAGAGAGTGTGAACATTTACAAAAAACTGAAACTTGAACTTAAAAAAACTTGAATCGCTCTGTGTGATGGACTAACTGCACTAACTAGTTCTGTCACTGCTGAAGGCCACTGAGCCCAAACTGACAATGTCTGTTGTTTAAATGTCTTATTTAGTTATTTATTCTGTTATTTGCTATTTATTTATTAATAATAATAATAATAATAATAATTTTAATAAAAAGTCTAAAAGAAGTTTGTCTCCAGCGTCCTCACTGACATGCACTGTGTGTTTTCATTTCATCCAGTCTGGTGGATGTTTAGTTCAGCAGATGGTGAAAATGTTGCAGTTTGCACTGGAAAAGAAAAAAGCATCTTTTGATTAATTTCCCAAAGGTGATTAAAGTACAACTTTAATTAACACACACACACACACACATAGGCATATTATATTTTAGCAGCACTGAGTGTGGTAACTGCTGTTGGGTAAAAACTATTCCAGAATCTAGTGGTCCTTGATTTGATTATTCTGAACCGTCTACCTGACGGACGGCAGCAGTTCAAAGAGTGAACGTCCTGGGTGGGAAGTGTCCTTAATCATGTTCTGGGCTTTTCTGAGGCAGTGGGAACTGTGTAGTTCTTCTAGAGTGAGGAGAGGCCAGCCGACAATCTCCTGGGGCGTATTAATGACCCTCTGGAGCATTTTCCTCTGAGCAACTGTGCTGCTGCTGTACCATACACATATACAGTATGTAAGGATGCTCTCAATGGAGCACTGATAGAAGGACACCACCAGTCTCTGGGAGATGTTGTTCTTCCTCAGCACCTGCAGGAAGTACAGTCTCTGCTGGGCCTTTTTAAGTTCATAACAAACATACAGCACTGAGACCAGACTGTATTTTTTTCTAGGGCAGCAAGTTGTCAAATCCTCTCAGGTTAAATGGTTCACAGAAACAAAACTTCCTGTGACACACACACACATGCATAGTTTCTTAATTGAGAGCTGGTTTGTAACTGAAAATCTTAACTGCAAGCAAGATGCTGACACACTGGGCCAGCAGTGAAAACATGATCCAGTCACAGAAGGAAAAAGGGAAAAGTCTTTGTCTTCATACATTGCACATTGCAACCTTAGCAAGCCACCAGCTCTGTCTGCAAACTGGTTTCCCAGTTTGGTGAGGAAGAGGCTGACTGGTCTGCACAGAGACCCGAGCTCAGTCCCATCCAGCACCAGGTGCTGGGCCTCACTCGTAGAGCAAATGGATCACATGGTTCAGCATCAGACTGGACCCGGAGGAAACCACTCACTAAATGAGCAGCAGACGTCAAGATAACACTGCTGTGGCTGCACATAAAGCCACCAGCCAGAAAACCAGTGATTTCTGCAGATTCACTTTCAGCTGTTAACGTCGGAGCTGTAAGCTCAGCTGTGTGCTGAGTCAGTGCTGCAGCTCCGGGTTACATCACAGCCTCATCCAGTGATGAGTCATGGTTCTAGTGTGTGAAGACCACGTTGTTGTATAATGATTAATGTGCAGCAGTTCAGCTCGGGGACATTCACCGCGTGTTTCCTCACAAGCTGAGGTGTTGTGTTTCAGTGAGGTCATGCGGCTTCTGGCCGCTGACTGAGGTCAACCGCCACCTCCAGGCTTGTGGGGAAGGCCTGTTGATGTTGGAGCAATCACCAGGTACGACTCACGCTGGTGGCACGACATGTATGGGGGGGGGGCTCTGAGAAACTAGGTGTCACTGACATTCTCCAATATGTGTCGGGCTACTTTGTTATGAGGTCATGTAGAGAGCCAATATGGAAGTGGAGCGTCCTGGTTCTGCTCCAGGTGTAAGAAACCCTCATTCAAAACCCCACTGAAAGGTGTAGCGACCTAAACAGCTGAAAATCCAGCCGCGGAACAGAAACCTCCTCGGCAGTCAGTGACTTCTTGTGTTGAGGCAAGAGCAGTGTGAAACAAAAACCACATGTTGTTGTTTGTTCAGCTCTTAGGTTTTAGTGGCTCTTAACAAACATCAACACACTAGCATGAGCCAAACATCACGGCTCAAATCTGAGTGTTAGTTGGTTCAGATATGTCTGTAACACCAGGACGAAGAGGACTGGAGAAAAGGGTTTAGACAACATGCTGGTGGACGGCAGTGTGGATGGAACCAAGTTAAAGTGAGCACACATTTTAACAGAACTTCCACAAAATCATCAAAGTAACTGTTGGTTTATCGTTTGCTTCCATCGGGCAGCTGGTGTTTGGAGACGGACTGAGGAGCTGATTAGATGAGCTTCAGTCAAAACTGGAATGATGGAAACCTGATATTTCTCTTAGTGCCGTGTGAAATGAGCAGAATCTGATTTAACCACTTCATGACACTGTGCCACAGGGCGGTGACTACACCTGCTCAGGTGCCTCACTAACACTCGGTGTTCCTGCTTGTACGTTGGTAAGAACTTACTGTGTGAAGTGCCCTGAGGTGATTTCTAGTGTGAATCGGTGCTACACAGATGAAACTGAATGAACTGAATTTGACTGTGATCAAACGGAGGCCGTCGCCAACAGACAAACCCACAGAGATCGTCAGAGTTCACTGACAAAGCCTGTGCTTTGTTTGTAACGTCTTGGACCAGGAGAAACTGTTCTCACTTTGACATGGGAGGTTTAAAACCTAATGCATGTTTTAGCCAGATGTTTATAACTGGACTGTCGTCCACAGAATGTTTGTCATGTAAAAAAGGAAATTTCATTTGTGACTATGCAGCTGGAGCTTCATGTCAATACGCCTCATGTTACAATAAACCATTGTTTGTTTATTTCAATTCATGATTTCTTGTTTGTGTTTACACAGTTTCATGTGTTAAACTTAGATAAGTGTCAGAAATTCGAACGTCAGCTGATAAAATGTGTTGCACTTGCTGACAGTGCAGTATATCTACATACTGTATGTGTCAGTACTGCATCATCTCCTGCACATCAGCGTGCACTTGCTTCCACACTGTGGCTCTAATGTTTTTGTTCTTCTGCTCCTGTGGGTCTGTTCAGGAGCGTCGACACTCAGGGGGCTGCTGTGTCGTGGTCCCTGCAGCTCTTCCTACCCGATGAGCCTCTTGGTCCCTGGGTGTCCTCCCTTCAGGCTGACGGGTGGGCAGCCCACCCCCTCCTTCCACCACAACAACCTCCAGGCTGTCGGGTCAGGTTCACCATGTCGGTGCCTGTACTAGGACCAGCTCTGTTTCATTTATTGATACATTAACATTATCATCTGGCTTTATGTTCCCTCTAGATATATTTGTTGTTGTAAATGAGTTTTGCAAATGTCATTTGTAGAAACGTGGGTTTCTGGTACATGATACAACTGTTCATTCAGCTTCAGATGTGAGAACATTTTCCAGGCGTCTTCCATCCAAACAGCTAAATGTCGAGGGGACTCGATGCCTCTTGAAATCACATGATGAGTGTTCATTGTAAAAAACTGTTCAAATGACAAGTTTTGTGTTTCTTTGAACAGGTGTCATCAGCCTGGTCTTTTGTTTTTGGACAAAGCAAATGTTGAGGAAGACAAAGGAGACATCAGCTGCAGCCTGGACGGAGGATAAAGACACCAGAGAGGAGCCCTGTGGACGGAGAGAGGCAGATTTCCACTCAGGTCCAGTGCTGCATTACACCAACAACCACCAAGACATGTGACAGTCCACACATGGACTGTATCACCGCTGATAACACGCTGACTGAGACCACAGCCTGCTCTCTGGCTCGGCCACCTGCTGTTCGAACCTGAGTCACTGTTTAACTCTGTCAGAACAAACAAAGCAATGACAGAATAATAATCTGGGGCAGAATGGTGGTTCACTTGTTAAGGAACTGGTTCCTTCTGTTGTTTTGGTCCAAAAATGTCAGGTGACAAATCAAAACATCATTTCTCTGTTTTGTTTGTGACCGCCTGTTCTCTGCATTGGTTTGAATCTGACAAATCCACCGACAGACTTTGAAGTGGTGAACCCAGTTAGCTGTGTGTGTGTGTGTGTGTGTGTGTGTGTGCCCCGTCCGGCCACGCACTGCTCACCAGGGCCTTCGGGGCTTCAGCCTGCTCCCTCACACTGATGAGGCTTTGGGGATTTTTCGTAGTGTGACCTCCGCCGATGAGGCTGAATAATAAACTGCATCACTTCCTGTGCCAGAGGGAAGAACCAGCGAGGGGAAAAGAACCAGTGATGAAAAAGAGGAACTGACTGGGAGCAGGAGCAGAAAACGTTGTGTACGTGTTGTTTTGTCAGCGTCCAGGCTAAACGCACGATCTGAGCTGTGGTTTTCTGTTGTTCCTCAACAGAAAACCACAGCTCAGATTGTGACCAGCTCAGACCTTTCAGAAAACATTCCCTTTGTTTTGGCAAGTCAAATCAACAATATGAAATAAAAAGGTGCTTCTAAAGGTAGAGAGAAGACAAGACTCCTGCTGTGCGTCGGTCCGACCTCTTCAAACACTAATAATAAGGATAATGAATAATGATAACTCTAAGGCCTTCATGTGACTAACACTGATCTCGGTGCTTTGTTTAAGGGCACACTGGTTTTTCTGTGCCGCCTTTCACTCAAAATGAATGAAGGCAGATTTGTTCACTGTGATGAATCCCACAGGAACAGTGAGATTCACATGTCGGCAAGTAAACTTTTGGATTACATGGAAATCAAATACTTTATATAGAATGACCAGTAAAACGGGAAGTGGTGATGTAAGCTCGGAGCAGCTGCAGGAAGTAGAGATGTGCCGCACGCCGTCAGCTGTCGTCCGTGTCCTTGCTGCTGTGTGAAGTCACTGCTGTCGTCCCATTGGCTGCGAACTGTCTGACTAACAGGTTGTATCTGCTGAGGTCAAACCATGATAACACACTCAACAACATCACATCACAAACAATTCTGTTTACACGTCAGCGCACAATCACACAAACAGCCCTGCACTGTTAAATACAGATGGTGACTAACAGAGTGGAGACACAACCAGCACTGATCAATCAGCTGATCACTGTCGTCTTCATGAGGACGACACAGTGGGTTGGGCACAGTGGGTTGACAACAGTAAGGGGATCTGGTTCAGAAGGAGGACGTTTCCTCCTCCGACAGAGGAGACCTGACGCTGCTCTGGAGACTCGGCCCTGATGAGGCCCTGCTAGGTGACG